GCGAATTTCAAGGTCATCCAGGCCACTCCCATATAACATTTTGGTAGTGGGTTGAAACAAACTATCGACTACACTACTTATTGGGTAAATTTTCATTTCGTATGTAAGTGTATGCTGATGAGATTCATTGGTTGATCTCATCAGAAGACGACGGCCGATTGCCGTTATTCTGCAGCCGTTTGGCTTTGGTAAGACTCTCATGTTGATGCACTCCACGAGATATCATCTCTCATTTCGGGTAAAACCACGTCCAACTTTGGCTCATTATATTATGGATATCGTCACAGCTGTGACTCATTCTTGCAAAAGTCCCAAGTTAGCCCTAGATCAAGAAGACTTTCCAGCCATAACTTACTTCTTATGCATTCTGACAATTAAAAAACGAAAATATATAGACATAGATATATACATATAGAATGATTTGGTTAGTTTTCTTTTATATTGGTCATGATACTTTTACTTGAGTGTGTCTATCACACAGAGGCGGCGCTGCATCTGGGGCAGCCACGTTCATTTCAGTCATCGGGGACCATGTTCCCCCTGCTTGAGGTAACACCAATACAGAGAGCCCCTTAGCCTTTTAAGGGATTCTTCAACGATACGAGTTTGCCCCTCACGATGGACAAGAGATGACCTCTTTTGAAATGCCTTATCAACAAGGGCTATACAACGAGGATGTCTGCTTTTTGCATACCATTTTACGAGCTTATTTTATGTCCTTTATTTCATTCGGAAGCGATAATCCTTCCTCTGTATGCATAATTTCATGCGATAACTATGCGTCTAGTTGGCATGGCTTTAACCTTTTAGGTGGATAATGATTGTGTTTTTCGCACGTGATATCTCTTACACGCGTGAATGGGAATTATGGTACCAATGATCACTATTATTGACGATATTAAGTTCATTCTAGAATCTCTTTGTCAAATCTCTACAGATTATTTTCGAAATTGACGTTTTTGGGAACTATAACCTACTTTCGTGTTACACAATGTTTTAATGTTTTTCTTTCATATAAATTTGATCTCAAAGCATAAGTCAAGGCTAATCTCCTTAAATCAAAGCGGATGATTGCCAAAATCTAAGAAGCCTTGTATTTCCTTCGTCTTTAGGATGATCTGCAGTTTAATAGCAGTAGTCAAGAGGCTCCGGCTTATCTCATGTGCACTTAGAAGATTTTCTACTTTAATCTGCGAGGCAAAAAGTATGTGCGGAATCACTGGCTTCAAACCTCGGAAAGATTCTATTTATTCGAAGGCTTTTGTTTTAACAATGCCATGGGCAATAAAATAACACGAGCTTAAACACCTTCAATTTGGTGCTCATCGGGATTATAGGCATAGGCCAAAATTTCTTTTACTCGAAGTATCCTGGGAAGAATATATCCGTATAATACGGGTTTAATTGGTACATGCTCTTTTGTTTGAGGCTTTATTTGAAGCCTGGAAGTTGTTGAATTTTTCTCGGAATGAATTAACGCTCTGCCCCAACTACTCCGCATAGGAATGGGCTTTGGAGCTTTTTATGGTTATTTTTACGGTAGATAAATCTCACCTAATTGTTGTATAGCCTATGATGTATTTCTATTTATCTTTATTCAGGCTAATCTATTGTTTTTTATATACCTAATTTTGCTGATATTTCTCGAATTCCTATCGTACCAAAATAAGTAATATCCGTTGTGTTACCCCTATTTCGTTTAGAGTGACGAAGTGGCAGTTGATTTTTCCCACAATGATATGAGTACAGCTGACGTT